TCTATCTATCTATCTATCTTAGTAGCCAAACTCCTGAGAAAGGGTGTTAAATTTGTTTGTTTGGTGAAGGCCATATCCCTATTTCAACATGACAAAACCAGGGTCATAAAGAAATGTTTTCTCAGTTTGGTGTGGAAGAACCTTAACCCTACCATTCCAGCTTTCCCCTGACCATGAACAGGTACTGACAATGGTTTGATAACACTTGCAATGCGTGACCAGCAGTAGTATACTGTAATATTGTCATCTGTTATCATGAACTATTATCACATAATAAAGGTTATGGTGCTTCTTGGGTGCAGTTACCGCAGATTTAGGGGGAAAGTTCAATGTCACACTATCTTTTTGAGAACGGACCATTCTATAAGAGTCCAAAGATCAGATCAGTTTATAACAGAAACACCCTGATTACATACTCTGTCTCTGTCTGTCTTTCTCTCCTTGTCACATCGTAGACTCTGTGTCAGACTGTACCTGTATCTATACTGTCACCAACCCTTTACTTTCTGACTCCTTTTCTCTCTCCCTGTATCTTCAGCTTGTAAAGATGTCTAAGAAGGAGCAGACTGTTTGCGGCTTTGAGGAGTATTTCCAGGATCGAGGGCCAACTGTCACATTCAGCAACTTGCACTATTGTGTTCACGAAAGTAGATTCTGCTGCAAGAGAGGTCCTGAAAAATACATCCTCAACGATGTGAGGTAGGATGTGATAGTTACCCGTCAGTGTGTGTGTACCATTCTGTCTAGTTAACAGCATTATCATTGGGTGGTGATTGTCTGAAAGCGTGCTAGAGCCACCTGTATGATGTGCCACTCGTGTTGTATTTTTTAAAGATGTTCTGGCAACAATCTCATCCTTTACATTATAAATATAGCATTTTTTCATGTAGTGAGGAAAAGTAATCAAGTAATCAAAGCATGAATGACATTCAAAAGGCACCACATTTGACAAAATTTGAGATTTCAGTTTCAGTGCTACTGTACTTCCTGTTATTGTCACAATAGAGCAATGGCGATATTTTTCTTAATTACACTGACATTCGCTGATGCACATTGATGATTGAGATCATATGATTAGTAAAGGGTTATCCTATCCTATGGTAACGCCTAATTAAAAATAATAAAGAAATATTCAAACAATAATGGCTTCATGAACAACATACTGTCAGGTGTCAGACAGTTGAGCAAATAAATAGTTTTTTTTAAATGTAACCTGCGATTTCCTGACTTGTGATAATGTTGCAGTTTATATTGTAAAGGTTTATCTTTGGATTTTAAAGCTACAGTAAATCATGGTAATTGGACAGAACATATTCTTGATTGTTTTAATATTTTAAAACAAGTTAAGTTAAATAGAATTGACTTGATTTTCTGATGGTTGTTGCAGTGGCATCATGAGACCTGGGATGAACGCTATCATGGGCGCCACTGGAAGTGGTAAAACATCGTAAGAAACATGTTCATGCACATCCAAACACACAAGCACTGTCCCGCACACATGCACAACATGAATATTAGTTTCTTTCTCTTTCTATCAGACTGCTGGATGTAATCGCAGGCAGAAAAGACCCTGCTGGACTACAGCAAGGAAAAGTCTTGGTGGATGGCAGAGTTGTCACATCAGAGCTCAGGCTCAGCTCGGCCTATGTGGTTCAGGTACACAAACACAAACATACATATGCATTCCTCTCTGATTAGTTTGTGCTTTCATCGACCATGTGCTTCTAGGATGATATCCTGATGGGTACTCTGAGTGTGAGGGAGAACCTTCTGTTTAGTGCCAACCTGCGTCTCAAACCTCAGCATCACTCCTGTACAGATAAAAAACAAAGAGTAGATGCCATCATACAAGACCTGGGCCTAACCGACTGTGCAGACACTAAGGTACAGTGCTACTTACACAAGCTAATGGTTGCATATCACTCACTATACAGCAGTATTGGAAAGAGTACTGCAAGGTCTTACTCATTCTTAAAGATTGTTTTTTTTACTAATATCTTTCTAAGGATAAGCAGATGTAGAAAGTAGCTCACTTGGAAGTATTTTGTTAAAGACAATTGGTCTTTATCACTTCCCTAACCCTACTCACATAAAAGATCAGTGTTCAAACTATATAATAAGGTGAATAAATTGGAAAATAAAATGTGTTATTCCTTTTCTCTTCATTGACAAACTTTGACTAGCTCTGCGTCCTATGTTTATGGGTGGCAGACATTTATTTGTAGTCTGTAATTATGTACTGTATTTCAACTGTTGCAAAGTCTACTACTTCAGTGAAAAGTTACTTATTTAAAAACGAAAAATACTGATATTAGAATAGTCCAAAAGCAAGTCCCCCAGTTACATTAACAGCATATTTCACCCTTAGCAGCCCAGTGTTTTTTGTGTATTTATGCGTGTGTGTCTGCACAGATAGGGACAGAGTTTCTGCGTGGCGTATCTGGAGGTGAAAGGAAGAGGTGCAGCATCGGGATGGAGCTCATCACCTCTCCCTCTCTGCTGTTTCTGGATGAACCGACCACCGGACTGGATTCTAACACTGCTAACTGTATCATCGGTCTACTGCACAAGTATGACAGAATTACTCATTATTCTCAAGATAGGCAACACATACTCACACATAAGATACAAATGACAACTGAAGCACACAGTAGATGCTGAAGATGGCGGGGTCAAACAGTGGACAACGCGCTGTTCACTGTCAGCTTTAATTAACATTTGTTAGAGCAGGCATCACTGATAGCCCCACAAATCAGCAGCATCTTCACAATCTGCTCCTGTCTTTGTGTCTTCTGTAACAAAATGGATGTAAACAAATGTCCTTATGTGCGTCCAGGTTGTCCAGAAGAGGTAAGACTGTGATCTTCTCCATTCACCAGCCACGCTACTCCATCTTCAGACAGTTTGACCACCTGACTCTGATGCACAAAGGCGAGGTGGTGTATGCAGGAGCAGCAGACCATGCACTGGACTACTTCACAAACCTCGGTATGTGTGTGTTAATTATGATAAGCCCTTGCTTAGGAATGTGTTATAATAAAATATGATGAATCTCTATATAAAATGGGAAAAATATTGTATCGTCATATGAAGTCCTGATGCTTGACAGCTACCTCCATTAAGCTGTTGTTTTATATTTTAATATTCATAATATAATATTTATTATTATTATTATTATTATATTTTACTAAATTAGTATGAAACTATGTAAATTCTCAAGTACCATGTCAGGGTGTTTTATAGAGGTCCTTATTACAGTGTTTCATGTGTTGTGGATATGATGTATATGTTTTCATACAGGCTACCAAATTGAGTCCTTCAACAACCCTGCTGATTTCTTTATGGACATCACAAATGGAGAGGCAAAATCAACATTAGAAACATTTAGTACAGGTACGCCTACACAAAACACGCACATAGTTTGGTGTTTCAAAAATTGGTTACAAAGTTTTTAGACATCTAGGTTACATATAGTCATTCTTTTAACAGGGTTTTAATAACTATACTTTGAAATGTAACACAGCTATTACAGAACTTGCCACATATTGAAATATAGACAATGAATATGAAAAAATTCCAAACATTGTGTAACTGAGAAAAGTTAATGACTGTTATAAAATGGTTTATTATGCTGTCCTTATCTACAACATGACAATGTATAAAGGCCTCTCTGTCTTTCCTCAGTAGAGTGTAAAAACCCACTGGCAACTAAGTACCGCCAATCCCAACTGTGCCAGAATGTGCTTGAGGAGTTGGACCATGTGAACAAGAGTGCTGCTGAAGGGGTAAAAGCTCAAGATGAGGCAGCCGACTATGTCACCTCTTTCCTCTATCAGGTCAGCCATCTCTACAGTTCAGAAACAGGTTAAAAGCTTTGTTTCTTACATAAAAAAAACTGAAATAAATAAAATAA